ACGGAACAAGGAGCAGGTTATTGGTGAGGACCTGCAAAGGGAACTTCGTCCTCCTGATCTTTGGCTGAAAGGATAATTTATTTTTCTTCCTACTTTTCTATATTTTTATACTTTGTGTGATGAGCCTACATTATGGTTAGGATAGAAAACTAAACTTCATTCAAAAAACATATTTCTTATGATATTACCAAATAGAATGGTAACCTGAAGGTGCCTTCCTAGGTTGGACTTTGGCTGAAAATGCCAACTAAAGAGTGAGCGCCTTGAGTATTGAGATGTGGGGAGAAATTAGGCAGCATAGAATGAGTCAGGATAGAGTCAGAGGAACAAGGTTGACAATACTCTTAAATGTAACCACAGGTATAAGGGAGATGGCAGCAGCAATGGAACCTTGGTTGAAATCAACTATAATAATCTGAATCCTGCTTACCTCTCAGAGAAATGAGCTGCTCTATGAATTGGATTTTTAAATCAAAGTATTTTAAATACATTATTTAATCAATGTCCCACTGTTGGACATTTAAAAAAATCACAAGATTTACAAAATCCTAAAAATATAAGAATAAGAAATACTACACAATGTGAAAATTATTTAATATTTCCGATGATTTGCGAGCCACTTGAGGATTCCGCTATGCTACGAGAGCATCATTATAACTATCATTTAGATACTACCCCAAATTATGGTTATTTAGGTTTTATAGCTATTTGGTTTCTAAATAATGGGAAGCTGAATGAATTAAAGGTTTCAAGATGAATGGTTTTAACTCTGGGAATGTTTGAACAACATTTCCTTCTGGTTTTTTTTTTTTTTAAAAAAACCAAACACCCAACATATCTGTGTGTAGCCAGAAGTGGAAGACCTCTGGCTTCTAATCTCCTGACTTAGCACTTGGTCTTTGCTCATCAGGAAGTTGGGCCATCAAGCGAGTTAAAGAGCAGGCCCATGTTGAGCTATGAAACCTGGACGTATTGCCACGTTCATGTCATTAGACCCACATATAGAACCAAAAACGACTGTAGGTGCTTTAGAGCTTTGACTGCCCCTCCCTGTGACAGCTGAGACTCTCACAGGTCTGGACGGAGCCTGCGTTTTGTGGGTTTCCTGATTCACGGTCCAGCCAGGATGGAACCTTCTGTGAGCAGCACTACTTAACTATTCCCCCCTTCCCCCTCCCCATCTTGGCTCTTTTACTTTGAATGTGGTGTTTTTAACTCATAAACTGTACTATTTGGACAAGGAAATACTGGCCTGAGGAACAGATGGTGTGGTTATTGGTGGGCTTCACTTACAGTGCTGTTTGAGATGTGGGGAGAATGTTTTTTCTATTTTGCTATTCCATTTCCCTTCCTGATCCCACCTGGCTCTCTAGGGTCTACCTCTCTCTCTCTTTCACTATCTACCTCCTTCAAAGCCATAGATTGTTATTTTATCTTAAAAATTCCATGACTTTAAAAAAAATGATGTTTGGTAAAAAGATACGTATAAATAAAAATATGATTTATAATCTCAACACCCATGGTAAAAATTTGATGTGTATCCTCCTGTTTGTATAACCAATTTTTAAAAATTGGGATTATATTAGGTACAATGTTATCTACACAGCCTAGTCTTCAATTCTGGTGCAATTATCTATATGGCTGTATAATCTTGAGTGAATTACTCAGACTTTCTGTGCTTCAATTTCCTCACCTCAAAATGGGGTGATACTCCACCTAGCCCCAGGATGGACAGAAAGCATACATGAGCTATACACGGAAAGCGCTTAGGACAGTGGCAGGAGCATAGTAAATACTGAAAAAAATGTTATTGAGCATTGGTATTCTTATCATATGAATACTATTTTGTAACCTGCTTTTAAAAAATACACCATAAGGGGCCAGCCTGGTGGCATCGTCGTTAAGTTTGTGCACTCTGCTTCAGCAGCCCAGGGTTCACAGGTTCGGATCCCAGGGACGGACCTCTACACTGCTCATCAAGCCATGCTGTGGCGGCATCCCACATACAAAGAAGGGGAAGATTGGCACAGATGTTAGCTCAGGGCCAATCTTCCTTACACACACACACACAACAAAATACCGTGAATATTTTCTCAAGTTATTCATGACTAATACGTGACTTTATTGCCTGAATCAAAATCCATTATACGACTGTACACAAATTATTTAGTCAATGTTCCGTTGTTGCACATTTATTATTTTCAGTATTTTGTATAGTAATAAATAATCCTGTAACAAACATTCTTGTGCATAAATCTTTGGGCACACCTCTGATTATTTCCTAAGGTAAATTCCTAAAAGTGGAATCGTGAATCAAAGAGGTTCAGCCCTTTTTAGGCTTTTACCAAAATGCCCTCCCAAAATGTCGTGTAAATTGTGTATGAGGCAGCTCATTTCCCCACAGCCTACCTGGCACCGGATATTACAGTTGAAAAAGTTTCTCACAGTCTGTAGTTTTCATAATCAGATGCTGCTCTGTAGTTTACAAGGCTCTCCTCTTCCGAGGTGTTCGTCTTCTATAACCCCACGTCCCTTTTGAGCCGCTTCTCCTCCTATTTTAATCTACTGTGTCCTCTAATCTCACATCCTGGCCCTGCTACTGTTCCAAACCTTTTCTTTCCTTTCTGCTTTCCTCATACCATTTCCCTCCCACCCACCTGGAGTTAGACTAGAGAGTTCTGTCTTGGGCAGGTGTGTTATAAATCTAGTAGATGGTTAGCACGGGAAGACAGGAACTTCTTTTTTTCATTGAGCTCAAGGCTAACTAAAAATGAAGCTGTCCCCAAATAGACTCATCTATGTTATAAAGTAATAAGATCCCTGTTGCCTGAAATATTTAAACTATATGGACAAGTGTCTGAAAACTGTGGGAGATATGCTTACTCTGGGCAATAAGTTAGCCTACATGTCAGTGTCCAACCAGGAAACAGAAACCGCCCTAGGTATTTAAACACAGAAGAAATTTAATTCAGGCAATTGGTTACACAGGTGATTAGAGAGCTCAGAAGCCAAAAAGATGGTGAGGCAACACTAAGATCAGTAACATCAGGAAGCCAGCACCACCCCCAGGCTAAAGGACAGAGGGAGGAGCAGGTGGGGTCACCTGGAGGAACCTGGAGCCACAGTGGGCATGTCTATTTGGGCCTGGACCACAGAGATGAGGCAGGTGCTTCTCACCACCCCAGGTAGAATGGGAGGCGAGAAATACCCTGTCTTTCCTCTTCTCCCTCTCCATTCTCCTTCCAGTATCTTCCATTGGCAAATTCAATAAAAAGCCAGTTGACACAGATGTTTGTGGAATTATATGTAGCCTGTGGTCAACTCCACCATGATGCAGAGCAGAGTAAGAGAAGGGTGAGGCTGTAATGGCAAACAGGCCAAGTCCTGGCACAATGACTTCTGGAGGCCATTCCAAATCCACAGAAAATAGGGCAAAGTGCAAAGCATGGTGGCCCTGGAGAGGTAGATAGTCCTGGGTTTGAATCTTGGCTCTGTCATTTATTAGCTCTGAGATCTTGGTCAAATCACTTAATTCCTCTGAGCCTCAGTTCCCTCCTCTATAAAAGGGGCCAAGAAAAACCATATCTCACAGGGTCACTGTGAAGATTAAATAAAATAATGTCTATAAAGTGTTGGTAAACATTCAACAATTGGTTTCCTTTCATCCAAGAATTTATAATTTTAAGACAAAAGACAATTGGACATTTGGTCAAGGTCATTAAACGTCTCTATATTTTGAGAGAAGCGAACGGAGCAGACGAATCTCCCCTTTGGAAGCTCTGCCTAGGGTGGGGTGGGTGACAAATTGCCCAATCATGATGCTGGGAGATGATCTAAGAAACATTAAAAGTATCGCACATGATTGATTCATTCCACAAACATTTGTGGGTACTCACTATTTTCTGGAAATGATTTAGACATGGTCCCTGCCCTCAAGGAGATGGCAACAGATGGGCAAAGAGAGAAATGGAAACGATGATGGTTTGGGAATGTTCCTGGAGGAGGGGGCAATGGGCTATCTCTGCCCAGGGAAGTGGGGGAAGTCTTCACCGAGGAGATGGCATCTGAATTGTGTTTTGAAGGATGAGTGGGAGTTTTCCAGCTTCAGAAGCATGTGCAAAAGCGTGGAGTCACAAAAGAGCACGGGGTGTTGGGGGAATGGTGAGCTCTTCACATCCGTAGGGCCTTTAGGGGTCCGTGGTCAAGGTGGTGCTAAGAACAAGTGAAAGACATGGCTAGAGACGGAAGAGAAAGGCAGCCCATGAAGGACCTGGTGGAAGAAGCTAATGACTTGATCCTGTGGGGAAGGAGAAGCCAGTAGACTTTTAAACTAGGGAGTAACTCGCCACCTATGACCTAGAATTTCACAAAGTGCCACGTCTTCCCAGTCTCCCTCACGGCCTCAGCCAAGGGGCTGATGCACACAGTTACATACAGCAGGGGCCATGTGCACATCTCATAAGACATAAGAAAGTATGAATCAGAAAAATGAGCACAAGGGTTTCCCCTTAATATTAAATTCAGAATGGAAAAAGTCATTAACTCATCCTGCAGACGCTGAAGGGCTCAAGGTAAATATTTAAAATGTTCTCCTTCTCATTTCCACAAAGCCAAGAACATCAGAGGTGTGATGATGATGCTTGCAGCTACGAGACAGGATTTCAAGGATTCTGATGAAACGTCTACTGGCCTGGATCTGTCTGAATGCTGAAAAGGACTTTGCGTTACTCTAGCGGGAAGGAAAACACAAAATAATAACGATATAGCTCTGGATGCTTTCCAGAACCCTTTCACAGACAGGATCTCATTTAAGCCTCGCTACAATTGTGTGCATCAGAGAGGACCGAGAGTACCATCCCATTTTAGAGACGAAGAAATGGAGGTCTGAGGATTTCACACCTTCCTTAGGATCTGAGAAGAAGTTGTATCCAAAACTACAAGTGGATTTCTAGACATGCAGGCCAGCGCGGTCCCCGACCCCCAGGCGCTGCTCTGCCTACCTGTCTCCTTCCGTAGGCTAGGATGGCTTCCTTGAGGTCCTGAAGCGTGTGCAGTTCAAGATCCAGCCTCTTTCTGGGACCTGTGGGGCCGTAGGGGCCTTTTCTCCTCTCTGCGGGGGTCCATGCTGATACCGCTAGACCTTCTGAGTACAGGATCAGGGCGCCCTTTCGAGTGCTGAATGTTTTAGGAAGAAACAGGCTCCACGTGTGCTGCTTGGCCCTGCCCCCATCTCGCGGTTTGCTGACCAGGACATAATTTTCTGGGGACTTCCAGTTCAAGTAATCCTGCAACGGAAAGAAGCCACTTTGAATGATCCACTGTGGAAGGCCCTTTTATGACAAATACTGCTTGTACAAGGTATTTGATATTTTTTAGTGACTAGTTTTCTCTGCTCACATGGTGTCACGAAACATAATCACTCCTCTTAGCAACTGATTTTGTCCTCCACGTGTCAGAGTTAGCAGAACTCAGGTCCCGGTTCTGTTTTACCCCACACAACTTTCAGGGGAGCCATTCGTGCCTGGAGGCGTCAATGGGGTAGAGTGTAGTTTACAGGCCAGGTAAAGTTTCCTGGTATGCAAGTAAGTAGTCAAAATTACCAAGGGTAGCAGGTAACTTTGAAATTAGACCTGGACTAGCTGGCAGTTTAAATAGGAGAAAACCATTCCAATCTGTCACTTCTGCTGTACACAGGGAGAATTTCTATACATTCCAGATGCTCTGTAACATTACCTAATTTGGCTATTTAGGAGCCTGTAAAGTAGTTACATATCTTGTAAGTAAATAAATGCCATTGGCCACAGAGGTCCTTTGAAACTTTATGTGACTTTTAGTATAGCAAAGGTCAAATATCACGACAAACTACCATGACAAGGGAAATCTCTGTGTGATCCAAAAATTTTCAAAGTACTCTCAATGGATTTCTTATTCCTGGTAGGACTTAATGAAATAAAATTCCAGTACAACAAGGGAATTTTGCCACCTCTTTAAAGTCTTTTAAAATGAGAATTTTTTTTTGCCGATATTAAATATGAGTCCTGTGGGTTGAATTCCAGAAAGTTCAAGGAAGCCGTTGAAATGGTATGAACATACACAGCATTTCAACCACAGAGCATGACTTCCAAAAACCAGACAGCCATCCACTTGCCTAGAACCCAGGTGGAAATTCTGGTCTTGAACCAAACCATCCAAATTGTAGACAATCTGGAATCTCCTTTGGTCTAAAGCAAATGAGGCTGTGAGTGTGCAAGGGAAGGAAGAGGCTCCCAGTGGCAATCTTGGTGTGTCAGGCAAACCACATTATTTTCCTGATAAGGAGGAGGGGAGACCCGCCAGCAAGCCCCTCTCCCCTAACAAAACAAACTGAACTCACATGGCTCAGCCCCACATGGAAAAATAGAACATTCCTGCCCTAGCCCCGAAATGCGCCTTCATTCAGCTGTAAGACTCACCTCTGGTTCAAAATAGACTTCTAGCTTCTGTTTGTTCTGGACCAGCCTCCCGTGTCCCCGGCTCAGGAGAGAGAGCGAGAGCGTGTTTTCCCCGCGCCCACCCTTCTCAAGGCAGCTCATCCTGGTTTTGAAGGCTGAGAGCTGGTCACACCTCAAGGTTTCCCGAGCTCAGCAGGGAGCCCAAGAAGACCACAAACACTGGGCCTTTTATTAAACACATTTCCCCTCGTACAGCAGCTTCTTAATAACAACCAGCCACACAGTTGAGACAGTGTGCGTCTTTGTCGGGAGAAAAAGTAAACCACAAACCCAGACTCCTCAAGCCCAGGACTGTCCACACTGGGCAGGCTCTCTCCCTTCGCCTGCACCCTTGTTGCCCCTTGGTGCTGTTGGTGCTGTTGCTCTGTTACCGCTGGCCATGGGCATCTACATGTCCGGCCGCAGCACCATCCTTCTCATTGTGAAAGCAGGTTGTTTCCCGGTTGCTATGGCAGCACACGGAAGTGCAGGCCCTTAAACCAGCCTGGGCAGGGCAGCGGCTGCTGAGGGCAGTGCTCGCCACTGGGGGGAGGGAGGGTCCAGCGGCACTGAAGGGACCAGGCTCAGATTGCAAGCCTTGACTTCGAGGGGGAGGGGCGTGTTGGGATATTTTCTCTGTTATAGTACTCATCTTCTTTTAGAGTGTGTCTTCCCCCTTCTGATATGTGAGCCTGTCACTGTCAACTAACCATGAACAGACCCAGAGGAGTTGTCTGGGTCACCTAAAACCACCTGTGACGCTTACCTTGACTGGACTGCAGGCCACTCTCTGGCACTTGCTACTTTGCACGGCTGAGCGCGGGGTCCTGGGGATCTCCAGACCCCTTTGCACACCTGGTTCTCTCTTGGCAACTCCTGTCTCCAGAGGGGGGGCACTTGGGAGATATGGGTGGCAGGCTATTAATTGCCACAAAGACTGGGGGTCAAGGCTGGCATTTAGCAAGCAGGGGCCCAGGATGCTAACCGTTCTTCAGTGTGTGGGACTATCCTGCATAATGAAGAATTGTCCTACTCAGAATGCCAGTGTCACCTTCCTTGAGAAACACTGCTACTGCCTGGGCTGCTTGGTTCTCCTCGATGCTGACACTGCAAGGAGGACGGACGGGGGAAGTGGGTCAGGGAACAAAAAGATGCTTTTGGTGGTGACCAAGAACCCTGCTTTGGCCTGGAAAAGCAACCTGCCGTGTCATGTGTCGGCTGAACCTCATTGGTAGTCTTGTGAGAGTGCCCCCTGCTGACCTGCATGAAGCAGTACAGGAGGCTACAGGCCCAGTTATCCTTGAGATCTCCCTCCGTGGGGGCAACCTTGCCAGGAGGCAGGCTCAAGTCTCACGAGGAGGAACCAGAGGTCATGTTCTGTAACTAGATTGGATTTATCATGGGGAATCAAGACAGTGAATGCAGAGGATCAAAACTGAATTTAGTTTAAACCACGTGGATGCCACTTCAATAGCCATTAGGATAGCTATTATTAAAAAAAAAAACAAACAGAAAATAACAAGTGTCGATGAGGACGTGGAGAAATTGGGACCCTTGTGCACTGCTGGTGGGAATGTAAAATGCTGCAGCAGCTGTGGGAAGCAGTCTGGCAGCTCCTCAAAAATTAAACATGGAATCACCATGTGATCCAGCAATTCCACTTCTGGGTATATAATACAAATGAGGTGAAAGCAGGGATTCAAATAGATATTTGAACACTCACGTTTATAGCAGCATTATTCACAATAGGCAAAATGTGAAAATAATCGTGTCCACTGACAGATGAATGGATAAACAAAATTTGGCATATACATACAATGGAATATTACTCAACCTTGAAAAGGAAAGAAATTCAGACACACGCTACAATATGAATGAAACCTGAAGACATTATCCTAAGTGAAATAAGCTGGTAACAAAGGGACAAATATTGTATGATTCCGACCATAGAAGATATTTAGAGCAGTCAAATTCATCGAGACAGAAGTGGAATGGGGTTTGCCAGGCGGTGTGGGAGGAGGGAATGGAAAGCTGTGTTTAATGGGTACTGGGCAACAACGGGAATGTACTTAATACTAGCGAAAGGCACATTTAAAAATGTTTAAAATGACAAATTTTATGTTATGCATATTTTAGCAAATTAAAATCTAAGAAAAAAACATATAGCAAAGAGAACAAAAAACTGAATTTAGCACTTTATGATCTGAAAGTGGATCGGGCGACATTACTGTGGAGTGCCCTCCTCGGAGCAGGTGAGACAGAATCCTGCAAAGTTAGGGTTCCGGATAGTCACCAGGGGTCCGAAGCTGCAGTGGTTCCTCTCTTTTCCCTCTCTGCCCCTTCAAAGGGCAAATGGTACCCTTCATCACAACTTCCCCGAGAGGTTCCTCTATGTGAGACATGGGTCCCTGCCGTCGAGAAGCTTCCGGCAGGGTGAGAAGATGGGTACGTGTGAACCAGGGCCTGAAAGATGACGTGACAGCTATGCTAATGGATAACAGAGCTGGAGATATGTAGGTACTGTAGGAAAAGAGGTGTGTTGGGGGGTGATGCCTGGTGGTGGCCTCGTAGAAGGCTCGAAGATGAGCGATATGAGCGGTGACTTTAATGGGCAGTAGTGTATGGTGAGGAGGGAAGATGAAAGAGGAGGTTGCAGGAGGCATGGACAGGAGTGTCTGAGGCTGCTGGCGAAGGACAGCTTCTCTGGTCTAGCCAGAGCCTCAGGTCATGAGGGCAGAGCTGGAGCTGGAGAGACAGGCCGGCCGCCCGGGACCGTGAGGCCACACGGGCCTGCTAAGTCTCTTTGGACTTCGTTCTTCAGGTAGGTTCTTTAAGCAGGGGGGTGATTGATCCTATCTAGGTTCTAGAAGGATGCTTCTGAGAACAGTGTGAAGGATGGACAGAAGGAAGCATGCTAACCTCATAAACCTCTGGGTAGACTTTCAGGGTCTTGCCACTCGGGCCAAACTTCCCTTGGATTTGAATGAATTTGCAAACTAGGTCAGGAATAATCACTTGCTCAATGGTCTTGGGTGGAGACATGGAGGGGAAAGTCCACACCAGCTGCAATGAAATATAACTGTTGCCATTTTGAAACGCCCTTACTCAGGGAGGTAAGGTAGCATAAGAGGAAAATGACAGAGCGACTGGGACCCCAACGAGAGCCACTATCGTCAGCCAAGGAATGACTCCAAGTTTCTCCAGAGGAAATTCCTTCTCTGAGCTCACCTGACTTGGAAATGTTAACTCATCCATAAATGGTGAGCCAGGCCCCCAGGAAGTCTAGGTTGAGTGAGCATCTCACCTGGCAAAATACCCAAGAGCCCATCTGGCCCTCTCAATGCTGTGGCAAGGCCACCAGGCCTCTCTGAGGTTGTAATCTGTGAACGGCAAGACCACAGCTCAAAGTGGGCCCCCCCCACCAAACTGTCGTGTTTACATCCATGCTGTTTAATATGGACAATGAACAGATGTACAGATCAATTAATAGACATTTAAGAGCATTTACTCAGTCCCCACAGCAGTTTATGGGAAGTGCATTTAGAAAGCAATCGAGGTTATTGCTATTCTAGAGTGCTTGGGGATCGCAGATGAAAGGCCCTTGTAACTGGAAAGTATTTATAACTCAAGAAGAAACTCTCCACACCCATGTTATATAACACCAACCCCATCTCCTGGCATGTCGGACCTGTCAGCCCATGCAGCATGTCTGTTTAAATTACACTGTAAATTCTATAGGGTGGAGACCTCGCTTTTATGGTTTGTAAAGCATCGCGAATAACCATGGCACTCTGTAAATAAACAGAAACCACATGAAACAAAGAAAAGAGATGTTATTCAATGGTCATGTCCCCAATGTGCTCAAGAATTTGTCCCTTGCTCCAAAGTGCATGGGGTGAATGGACGCTGCTCTGGGGAGGTGGCCTAGGGGGTAGCGTCAGGCTCCCACCCACTTCGAAGGGCAGTGTGGTAGTGTTTTCTAGGAACTGTGCTCACCTACAGGGCAGCCTCCCAGAAGAGTCGTTGGTGTTGCCCTTCTTACCCAAAGAGGAAAGATCAGTGCACAGAATGATTGAATGGTTTTGCACAAAGCCACAGAGCAAACCAGAGGTGAAGCGAGACCTTGTCCCAGTTTGGTCCTAATCCCAGCCTGCTGTTCATCCCACTTCTGCAAGAGAGTAGGAGCGACTATTCGCAATGGCTAACGGCCAGCGCTCGGGAAGCTGCCGCGATGGAGGCCGTCTTGGTGCCCTGTTCAGCCACAAAGCTGGTGGCTGGACGCTGGATCTGTGTCTGGCTGCTGCGAAGGCCTGAGACACTCCTGCCTCCCCAGCCTCGCTTCTCCTCACTTTACCTTGCACATCTGGTTGCACAGGAGTCTAGGAAATCATATTTTCAGCTTTCTAACCTCCCGCGCTGGCATGGGGGTGGAATGAAGGCTGATAGAGCCATCCACAGTTGTCTGCCATAAGCACTAAAGACAAGTTGCGTGAGAAAGTCAAAATAAGGGTTTTTTTAAAGATGTGGACCACATATATGACAATCAGCATCGCCTTGCATCAAGACTCTTTCCATCTGCTGGTGTTTTATACTTCCAGCTAGACTGTAAGTCTTCAGAAGGTAGGGACAGCCTCTTATAATTCTTCCTACTTCCCGTAGCACCCCTTGCATATAGTAACAGCTGAATAAATATTTGTTTCTTACTTTATAACATGGCCAGAGAGGTAGGTAATGATCTTGGAGCGATTATGAAAGATATATGAAAGAAGAGGATTAAACCAAAGCCTGTCTTAGTAGCTAGTGGTTTGCCTACAGGAAGAAGCTTAGAGCCATAGGTTAAAGACTCGGACCATCAAAAACTTGGTATTTGAAGGCTGAAAGGACAGCAAGAGAATCAGTGTGGAAGACACAGCCCCCCAGACTTGTTGGAAGAAGCGCAGACTTGCTGAGGATGAGTTACTTGGCTTGTTTGGAGGCTGGGGCCAGGTCAGGTTTGAAAGGAGAAAATGCAAAAGGCAATAAAGATACTCTAGAATCATAGCAAAGGGGAATAATGTGTCAGCGATGACTCCTGTTGCCATTCTCTCCTTGTCTATAAATTACGGCCATGTGGCCCGCCCAGCTCAGGAGGGAGGGACTGGACATCTATTTCATTTGGATCTTTCTGAAGGGTTTGCCTTGGGAGTGTGAAATATTTAGTTATGTTTTGCTCAGGGCTTCATTTTATTAGCAGGAGTGCTCACAGTAATTGCAAGCTTTTAAATTTATGGTGGGGAGATAGTAAGGTTGGAGAAGAAATAAAAATCACACATTCTTGGTTCTTTCATAACGTGGGGAACATCAGTCACTATTCCAGCCTGCAACTCATCACAGGGGGCAGACGCAACGAACCTGCATGGGGACCGACCCCTGGAGGGTGACGAGACCAGTAGTGACGTTAATTCTCAGAGGAGAAT